CAGGTCTTTCCTTCTTGAGCCTGTGCCCTGGCAGACAGCTCGGGACCCCTGATATCTCTGAGATAGGTGGCCCTGCCCTGTTAATGTTAGTCTTTAAGGCAGGGTTTGTCCACATTGGCGCTATTGACATTTTATGCAAGACAATTTTCTATTGCATATGTCTGTGTGGAGTGGCTGCTCTGTGCATTGTAGAATGTTGAGTGGCATCCCTGGCCTCTCCTCATTAGATGCCATTAGCATCTTCCAATTATAACAATTAAAAATGTCTCCACACGTTGCCACATGTCCCTTAGAGAAATAAAATCGCCTCCAGGTGAGAATCACTATTCTAGGGCCCAAAGTCCTGTCCGTAAACTTTTGCCTGTTACTTGGAGACCTGCTGACAGACCTCCCTAATATGAGCTACAAGCTGAGTTCTCCAAATACAGCTTGCTCCTGGATTTCCCAGTGCCATGTTCCGCCTTCCTGTAAAGAGGCGCCTGGTGCCAACAGCTTGTCTGGACTACCAGTTGTTCTGTTTCAAGATATAATTTTCTTTGACTTGAGTGAATGACTCTCCACCCCCTACACCTGCTAGTTTTCCTGCAGGCCTGGGGTGGGGCTGATTTCAGCCTTTGGATCCAGTTGAGATCCACTTAGATTCTTCCAAGAGTGGCTGTATCATGAGATACAGCAGTGAGAATTTGTTTGTTTTCCTTACGGAAGTAATCTTCCCAGTGGTTTTATGTGAGAGAGACTGTCCTTTTACCATGTAAGTGGAGATAGAGTTTTCTGAAGGCGATAAATTGCCCCATTCTACTCTGCAACAAGTCAGCCGACAATGAGCAGCAAAACTACAGAATTGCAGCCTTAATAGATGCCAGCAGCACAAAGGTGGTGAGCTTAATAACAGAGCCTTGGAGAGAGTGAGAAAGAGATTGATTGACCGAACGCCTAGAGGAGAGAACAGAATGAGACAAAGAACATTGTGTAATGCTTTTCAAAGAGAACTTATCTAAGAACCACAGGAGAGAGAGAGGGCAGAGAAAGAAAGCACAGAACAAATTGTACCTGGCAGCACCCTAAACCTGCCCTCGTTAATGACAGTGGGGCAGGGGGCACTGGGAGGGCTCAGAGCCTCGCAGGTACTCCAGGGGCTGACACAGATATTGACATTGGGAGAAAATCCGCTCAAGAGGGAAGAAATGGTATCCAATAGCTTTAACAAGTTAGATGATATCTCTCTCTTGTCAAAGGATGGTGGCTTTCCTGTGCAAAGTAATCACGGGCCCAGGTATTTTTCCCTCTTGACGCTCTGTCATCTTTTGGATGTTGCTCTCTTCTTTATGATCAGGATGGTTCATTCCCCGCCCATATTCCTGCTAGCAGAAAGAGGGAAAGAAGGGAAAACACACCCCTTCCTCTTAAAGGCTTCACCCAGAAGTTGCACACATTATTTTGGCTCACAACCCATTGGCCAGAAATTTAGTCATATGGCCACACCATATGGTCACACCTAGCTGCAAAGGAAGCTAGAAATTCTGGAAGGTTGTGTGCCCAGATAAAAATCAGGGGTTCTCTCTGAGCAATTTCTCTACCACCACTACCCTGGGTGCTTCTTGGACTCAGTCTTTTCTCCAAGTTATGTTTCCCAAATGCCCCACGAACCTGTCTGGCAGGTCCATCCTTAGAAGACAGAGGTTGGAAAGGAAAAACGTGGACAAAGATGGAGTCCTCTTTAACTCAAAGGGTTTACTAAGCACTGAGATTTTGTTTAACTCCTAAAAGAAAAGCAACTTTTAAGTTTAATGCCATCAGGCAGGCAAAGTGATCTTATCTGGTGCTAGGGCCCCACGTCTACCGGAAGATTTGCTGGCTGGTAATCGTTGTGAAATTCCAGAGAGGACTGAGGCAATGCTGTGGGCTCTTGGACAGCGAGGGGCCCATGCTTATTGAACTGGGATCTGAAAAACACCCAGTGTTCTAAGGCAATCATCCCCAGTCATGCTCATCTTCCCAAGGAGAGAAATTTTAAGTTGTGGATGCCAGCACATTTCTGAGACTGACAGAGTTAGAAACCTAGAGGAGAAACGTGCCTTTGGCACTCTGGCAAAGATGCCTCAATATACTGAGAGACTCTGGATTACGTGGGATGTGGTCTGTTGGCTGGAAAATCTCAGCCCTCTTGTCTTCAACATCAAGAGGACTGGAGGTCTGTGGTTATAGGACATCACAGGATTGTAAAGTAGTCAAGGCAGAAACAGAAATTAGGAAAGAACTATATATACAAAAGGTATTTTGATATGATGTATGTAATTTTATGAGATTGTCTTTTAACATTTAAATAAACTTTTTTCAGAACAGTTTTAGATTTACAGAAAAACTGAAAAGATAGTACAGAGTTCTCATACATATCTTATACTTTAATTTTATTTTATTTTCAGAGATAAAGGAATTTATTATAACACAGCAAGAAGCATGAACAGCTGCATATTTATATCATATTTTTACATGAAAGCTTTTTATCCTGAATATTTTAACAAGGAAATTAAGAACAGAAATTGGTCAGTAATAGAAAATCAAAAAAGGCACCATTTTCTCTGTTCTGCTACTCCCTGAATGTGAGATTTTTTTTTTCGCAAATCACTTAATATCTTCGAGCCTCAGTTTTGCCACTTATAAAACAGAAATAAAACTAACGTTTCATAGAGTTGCTCTGGTGAAAACATAATGAAGTACATTTGAAATGTCTGTATGTAGACCTATTGTAAAATCTGAAACACTCACCAAATCATAGTTCTAGTAATTATTCTGCAGTACCCTGTGATATTTGAAATGATTGAACACAGTATGTTAGCTGACACACAGGGGTTAATGTATTTAATTAGCTTGTCATGGTGTGGGCTGCTGACTCAAGGAAGGGTTGCTAAACTGATGTTGGAAAAAAGTTAAAATCATTATACAATTAAATTTCCACTTGTGAAAGTTTTCACTATGAAAATAAATATAATATTTTAGATGAGCTAATAATAATTTTCCCCAAATAAAACATATTTAATATGACTGATGAAGGATGTGAAGAAACAGTTCTTAAGTGTCTCAGATTTACTGTGCCTACCTTCTAGGATAAGGAGCAGGAAAAATGGACAGGATTTGTGTCCTAAGTGGTTGTATGAACCAGAGAGGGAGTGACGATTTTCCTAACTTGCTGAGGTTTTACCAAGTACAAGCTCATTCTGCTCACCTCAGGAAGGCCAATAAATTGAGAGATGAGTTGTTGGGGCAAGGAATAGCGACTTCATTCAGAATGCCAGCTTACTGTCCCTAAGAATTCTTACCCAAGACAGAATTCAGGCTCCTTTTATAAAACCAGAAAGGGGAGGAGGTATGATTGGTTGTTGCAAACTTCTTGGTGTCAGGAACCTTTGTTCTTGCAGCTGTCCTTGTAGGCCAGGTCAGGACGTTCCTGTAAACCTCCAACAGAACAATGCTGTTTTCTGTTCTGAAACTTTTTATCTCCATATGAATGAGAAGGTGTTACACCTTAAAAGGTCAGAGCTTTGGGAGTGAGCTATCCTGTATATTTCAAGCTATAGGCAATATTCTTTTACAAAAGGTGCAGAACCAGCATGACTAAGCACAGGAAACAGAGCACAGGGTTAAAGGAACAGATCTAATATCAAGTCAGATTTGTTCTTCCCAACAGAGGTATTTGGGGATGTTTATAATGGATTATTATCAATGGCTATATCTAGGTGATTGGATTTAGGGGTAAATTTTTTTCCTACCTTTTAATCTGTCCAAATTTCCTACAATGAACATGCATTGTTCTTTTGTAACAAAAGTTGTCTAAGTATTGTCAATATTCAAAGTAGATGGTGGGTTAACTTACCTTGTCAAAACCAAAACTGTGAACCGTTTATTTAGTTATTTCTGGTTAAAAAACAGTGTTTCCTGGAAAACCCAACCAACTACTAAGCATGTTCTTTACACCTTGCGTTTCCAAGATAAGCCACACATGAAGGTGGAAAGATTCCTATAATGCGTGGACGACAGGGTAGGCTACCTTATTCACTTTTAGGATCTGTGGTATCTCATCAGTCTCAGCTATAGAACCTTGAATTATCTCTTTAATATAATTATTAATATTGAAAGAAATGCTGCCTAACATTCACCTGGAAATTAGAGACAGCACTGAAAATAAAGAGCAAAAAAATTTTTTTTCTTTCAAAAGCAAGGTCCAAATGAACTGGCTTGAATAAACACAGTATTGAAAGTAGATATTCACTTCAACCCTGCCCTTTATTTGTGAAGTCATTGTGTTTTGTATAACTGGGAAGCTCCAAGAGGAGACACAAATGTACTCAGTAATGGGGAGGTAATTTTGGTCTTTGCTACTACGCAAGTGTGGTCCACAGACCAGCAGTTATCAGCTTAACCTGGGAGCCTGTTCAATAGAATCTCAGCCTTCACCCGAGATCTGCATTTTGACAACCTCTACATTTGACACCTGATTCATATGCACATTAAGCTCTGAGAACCACTGGTCTATTGACTGCTTGGTTAATTTTGAGCTGCTTTACCTGACAGTATTGGCTAAGAGGTCCATCTGTTCCAGAGGTACTTGGGGAATGTGGCTGTAGGTCATTGGTGTCAGCACTTCCAAGAAGCTCATCTTGCTTGTTGATTGGTCTAGAAACCTGCCCAAATTGGTCAGGAGTAAAGTTGAAAGGTGGAGTAATTATTCAAAGAAATTATCAGAGCTTTGTGAAAAAAAAAATTACAAGCATTCATTGTAATATTTTTAATAATAATTGAATAATTGAAAACAGTCTAATGTTAAACAATAAGAGATTAAAGAAATTATGGGGCATCTAATAGCCACAGAGTAGCCATTAAACACTATGTGACAGAACAAAGTTTATTGGCATGGGAAAATGTCCACACTGTATTCTTGAGTGAACAAAGTTGACTACAAAACACAGCCTGATTCCATTTTCTTTTTTTTCCCCACCCTTTAATGGAGACACTGGGGATTGAACCCAGGATCTTGTGCACAGCAAGCACATGGTCTACCACTGAGCTATACTACCACCCTCCCCCTCCTTTTTCTTTTTCTTTTTTGCAAGGAGGTAATTAGATCTTTTCTTTTCTTTTCTTTTCTTTTCTTTTCTTTTCTTTTCTTTTCTTCTTTCAGTGTTGGTACTGGGGATTGAACCCAGTTGCTCATGCATGCTAAGCATGCACTCTACCACTGAGCTATACCCTCCCCCTAGCCTGACTCCATTTTCATATTTCAAACATACATAAATGAACAAGAAGAAAACCAGCAAGAACATGCTCTACAGATTTAGAGTGATTTTTTTTGTTTTATTTTCACTGTGCTTTTCACATTTTCTGCATAAAAGCAATATTTATTTTGTACAAAGAGAAAGAGTACGTGTTATAACAAAAGAAAGTGATCAAGACCCAACCTTGTATTTCTGGCCGTAAATTGTAGCAATTTTTTTCAACTAGAAACTCAATTCTACTCTGATTCAATTATAGCCAATATTCAATAATGACACTAAGTTACTTTTCACCAGAGCCATGGATCTCAATCCTGGCTTCATGTTATTATCACCTAGGGAGTGTCAAACAACCAAACAATAACACAAAACCAATGGCTGGTTTCTACCCCAAAAAACCTAGGCACTGGGAATTTGAAAAAGCTTCTCAGAGTTAAGAACCACTATTGAGTATGGATAGAAGGATATTCATAGTTCATTTCTGAAAACCATGACTACACTATCTGTGTTAGTTATAAAACCCTATGTGCACATATTTTGGGTTGTTTATTGAAGTACAGTTTTTAAAATCCTCCTACATCATTTTATTTAACACTATTCAACAGACATTTATTGAGTATCTTGATATTTTGTCCCATTTGAGCCTCACAGTAACCCAAGAGGTGAATAGGAGAGGTATTAAGTCCACTCCACGGAAGAGATAGCGCAGATCCCACAGTTCTTCAAGGAAAGGGCTCAAATCTGTGTTCCCAGATGCCAAAGCCAACGTACTTTCTGTCACCACATTGTTCCTAGTGTTCCACGATGTTTAGTTTGGAGAAGGCACTTTTCTAGGTAATGGTTCTTTTCCTTTATACACCTCAAGCATACTTAGCATGTTTACATCTGAGAAATTGCATGAGTTTTCCTTTACACTGAACATTAGGCAGTGTCAACTCAGAAATTTCTGAGGACCACCGTATAATCATTTTGTTGGGATCCTTGCTCAAAACACACCAACTCTCACCTTTAACAGGAGTTAACATAAATCTTTAGGTCACAAAGTCTGGAGATAAGACAGGAAGCTATAGAAGAGAAAAACAAAAACCAAACTGAACCAGCTAGAACCAAGATGGGGACGAATCTGACCTCCAACAGACCCTGAGTCTCATTACACACTGAGTTTACTACATTGATATATTAAATGACACACCTACCAATGGCCATGACTGGAAGTCAAGGACCAGAAAAGGATAAAAAGAAGGTGACACCCACTCCCTCGGAAAGCCCTGCTGCCCCTTCCCCAGCAGACTGATGTATATGCCTCCCCATCGTTAGCCTCGCTCCTCCTCCCTTTGTCTTTACTCTTTAAAATCAAATCCCTCTTCCAACATGGGTGAGAAGTTGATCTGTGAACTAAGTTCCCACTTCTCCATTCTCTGGCCATTGAATAAAGCTTGTGATGCTTCAATTTCGGCTTTAGTTTCATTTTTGATTGCACGAACCCAAATGGAAAAAGAACCTTCTGTACTGAGGCAGAGGGCCTTGACTGGGTTAAGGCCTGAGCAGAGTCCATACGACTTAATTTGGTAGCACTTTAGGGGGCTCAGGTACGCAGGAGTTCAGAGATTCCAAATCTGGGTACTGTAAGATTGAATAAGAAAACTAGAGACTTGATGTGAATTTCCCAGATGAATCTGGATTTTAGCAAAAGTGTCCTACAAAAAGAGGCCACTGGAACCAGCTGTAATTTACCAGCTGTCAAATAAATCATTCTGCCCTTTGTAAAATGCAAACTGTTTGAAAGACGGTTTCTCTGAATGTTGTAGCTATTGACTTGCACTGTACCTTCACCATAGATACATGTGTCTTACTATTTAAAATTATTCACATGGCCACTACACTTTGGGAAACAGGTTTTAAAATAATAAAGCATTTCACCAAGTATATTGAAAAAAAGGGGGAAAGAAAAGGAAAGAAAAGAATGTGCGGCTGTTTATACCAGATATCAAACTATTGTTTTAGTTGCGGTTAAACCTGAATAATTTTTAATTGAAAATGATCACAAGGTTTTTCTAAATCCCAGCATAAAAAGAAACAACCAAATCTGACTTTGAAACCACGACTGCCCTGTTGGTGATGATGAAGTCAAGCGGGGGGGGGGGGGTGTCTCAGCTGCCCTTGGAGGCCACTGGTTGACAGCCGTGATGTTGCTGCCACCTTGTGGTTAGTCCAGATAGCGCAGCCAGGGAGGCGGCCTGGCCACCCAAGGGAGCAAGTGTGCCACAGCCTAGCTAGTCAGTCACACTTTGATAATGCTTCAGCTGAGCTCACTTATTGCCTGGGAAGACGGAGGGCCTGTGTGGCTTATTACGGGCTTGTGGTATTTATTAATCCACAACAGTATTGTTTTTGATAGACAACCTAAGATTAAGGCTAATAAAGGACTCTGGGAATGTGGACTCAATAATTTTGTTGGCTTGAGAACAAAGAAGAAAGTCAGTAAATAGTACCTGGATCCTCCAGTAATCACTCCCGTCTTGTAAATTACTGTTTTCTCTTATTCCAGCCCACCACCTGTCATTCTAAAAAGTATGATATATTAATTTTTAGCTAAGCAATATCCACAGGGAGTAATCAGAGTCGGCCCCGTACAGGTGTTTTTCCAATGAAAAAGGTTACTATTGGAATTAGTTATAAACGACATCAGAACACTGAATATTAACAAAGTGATTTTCATCTGCTTATTAAATACCCGGAGATACCTATGCACCAAATCATGTTGTTCTGGCTGACATTTGAAAGGTCGTGCATCATCTGAGAAAGAAGAGCCCCACCTTCAGGGTGTCCTTGACCTTCCTTCTTGTCCTTTTTCTTTTTCCTTGTACATTTTATTTTAAATTTAATTATTATTAAATAGTTAAGCCCTCCACAATGATATAAAAATATGATATTGATCATGCTTGACCTCACCACTCAGCTTAAGAAACACAATGTTGGGGGGAGCGTATAGGTCAGTGGTAGAGCACATGCTTAGCATGCCCCAGGTCCTGGGTTCCATCCCTAGGACCTCCATTAAAAAAATAAATAAATAAACCTAATTACCTTCCCCTACAAAAAAAAAAGAGAAACAAACAAAATGTTATCAACACAGGTGAGGCCCTCTGTGAACCCCCATTGTGGCCCCTTCCTTCCCACTGAGTCATGGTTTCCACTGCCCTAAATTTGGTGTTTCATTCTCACTGTCTCTTTATGTTTTTAACAGTATAGATGTATCTATAAATAATATAAAGTATCATTGTTCATGTTTTTAAAAACTTTATTTAAAAGTTTTTTTCCCTATAACTTGAATTTTTTCCTCCAGTGTTATGATGTGTGAGATTCATCCTTTGCATTACTTTCTGAGGGCTGCCATAACAAATTACCACAAATTTGGTGGCTTAAAACAACAGAAAGGTAGTCTGTCACTTGTTCTGAGTGCTAGAAGCTATAATCAGGGTGTCCTCAGGGCTGTCCTCCCTCTGGGGCTCTAAGAGAGGATCTGTTCTCTGCCTCTTCCAGCTTCTCGTGGCTCCAGACAGTCCTTGGTTGGTGGCTGCATAGCTCCAGTCTCTGCCCCATCTTCACATGGCCTTCTGCTCTCTGTCTGTGCCATTGGATTTAGGGTCCATGTGTGTAATCCAGGAGGATCTCCTCTTAAGATCATTACTTACATCTGCAAAGAGCCTAGATAATACATGGGGGAGGCAGGTTTCCAACCCATGCATTTTGACCGACTGCCCTGATCACTGGATTACATGCCTGTAAGCTCAGATAGCTGCGACTTCCATTATTCAAATGAAGGGCATTTCATGTGGCCTTAGTTCTAATGCTTAGCCCATGTAGGTGAAAACTAACTGGTATTGAGAGGTTACAGGTGGAAGAGATGGTGCACTTGCTGGGGAGGCAAGGAATCTGGGTGCTGGAGTCAATCTTCTGTTGGCCCCAACTCCAGCGGACAGGATGCCGTTTTGTCCCTGTTCCTCTTCCAAATCATTTACCTGATTTAACCAGCTGGGAGGTTGACAAAAAATAACAACTAACTCACTCCTTGGGTTTGGGCTGGGAATGCACAATGGGATTTTTGAAAATACTTTCTTCTATTACTAAAGTAAATAATCCTATAGAAATTTGGAAAATGGAAGGAAAAAATTACTTTTAAGGCCACTAACCTAATCCATCTATTTCTCATGTGCACATTTTTACAGTTATAATCATTGAATCTAGTTTTATAATCTACAATATATCATTATTTTCCTTCTTGCTCTATAATCTTCATAAATGAATTTTTTTTAAGACAAGTATTTTCATCTCCATTTTACAGTTGCAGAAACTGAAGCTCAGGAGACTGACTTGCTAAAGGTTCCAGAGCTAGTAAGTGATAAAGCTGAGGACCATGAAGAATTTGTCATTTGTAATGCTTAATATGTTGTGAGTGTTACCAGGTTGTATTTACATATGTGGCTGTTTCTAGTAACCGTTTACACATCAGCATCCAATTATCTGTTGCCACATAACAAATCACCCTGAAACATAGTGTCTTAAAGCAGTGATTGCATTTATTTTGTCATTTGGGCAGGGCTCGCAAGGACAGTTTATTTTTGCTCCCTGTGGCATATCTGGGGTGGCTTGAAACTGGTGGCTGGGACCATCTGAATACTCACTGACTCACAGGTTGCCCGGTGCTGCTGGCTGGGAGCCAGGACCTCAGCTGAGCTGTGGCCAGAACAGCTACACACGGCCCTTCCCTGTGGCTGCTTGGCTGCCTCCCACAATGGTGGCTGGGT